GAGTCGAACCATCAACACCCACCCTCACTGCCTGATTGAGAATCCTCCACGCTATCCACTAGGCCATCCGATCGTTGTAGCTGAACACCGCTCCGATCGTTGAAGAAACCATTCCAAGGAGCCGCTCACTCTTGATCACGTGCCACAAATAAGACCCCCTTTGCGACTATTTTTCTCCTCGATTCCCATAGAACCTTTATAAGGACCCCCCACTCAGCAACTGGTCAAAGTTGCAAGTGATGTGGAGCCCATAGAGGCTCAAAACCATCGGTTTCCATACACTTCTTTTTCACTCCTTTTTTGGTATTCAAAGAGCCATTTAGGAAAAATGAACGTCAGTTTGGTAGTCCATGAACGTGCCCCTACATCATGCAAAAAACCGTTTTCAAAAAGCGCGCCACGTCCTGAACGACCTCCCTGGTTAGAGTCGCTAATGTTTGTACACAACTTGATTCATAGTACAAAACTCAAAAGCTTCATCAAAACAAACCTTAGCAATGAGCATGGAATGGATTTTAACGTCTTATGTAATCAAGTGCTCAATAGGAACAAATTCATAAGTTACAAATTCAACATAAACAGTGACTCAGTGACATAGTCGGGTCAAAGCATTTGTAAACCAAATGCCACGAAGTTTTAGCGACTCTTCTCAACAAAATCAACGAACTAGCTCCATATCTCCTAGGATTTGCTTGTTTCTAAGATAAATGAATACTGCGCTATCACATGCTCCATTCCTTCTAATGCATAGATACTGTAGTGACCGTATCTTCTGCTGAATTTTCCCTTCAATTGAATTCAATTTTTGAGGTTCTCTTCTTCCGCTTCCATGCGTACATCTAGCGCAACTCATTTGTTTCTTATGCATCCCACCTCATTGAGCCTCAGGGGTTGTCGAAATATAATGGTTTCTTTGAGTGGAGGCGAAACGAGCCATGCTCTCTTCGTTTACGATTTCCCCTAGATAGTTTTCACGATTTCCCCCAGATAGTTTTTACTTGTTTCATTATTGGGTTTTACTGATACTCGTCAGACTACGAAGACAAACCATGGTCGGAGTGCCAGTTCCGTCTGACAGACATCTCTTTTTTCTCTTTATAGCTCTTGGTGCGCTGTAGGGTTCATAATGTATGAAATAAAGAAATATCTGTTATATGATTATAGTTGACCGTAAAACCGTAAAAGTGGGCTTCGTTTTGCTGGGGGGCGCTCACTTGGAATGTCCAAAAAAGAGTGGAGTCTATGTATTATTTATTATTATAGTTGTCCGTAGTAACCGTAAAAAGTGGGCCCTTTTTTTTTTCTTATTTGCTGTGGCGGACTCTGGAATGCAAAAAAGGAGTGGAATCTATGTACCCCCATACGAGGGACGTTAAGCGCTATACTGGCGCCAAATTGCGTCGACGTCGAAAATAAGTGTCAAAATCGTAATCAGGACCATCGATTACCCTTATGGACGGACTTCCAGCCAAAAAAATTTTTTTTCGATTTCTTGGGTTTTGGTGGACCATTTGGTCGGCATGTAGTGACCGAGTATCCCATCTTCGTAAAGACGATGACGAAACGACGACGTAGCAGGCCGCCGGGCAGGACAGCAAACCTGGTGGAATGCCTCCCTTTCCTTCCTCTTTGCATGTATTTCATCGGCATTGTTACTTTTATCTTTGGATATTAATAAAATAGGGGTCCCTATGCGAGCACTGTAAGCTTCTATAAAGGACAGGCACAACCCAACGCACACACCCAAAAAAGTCGAAAAAAATTTTTGGCCGAAAGATTGTTTACAGGGGTAATCGATGGCCCCGATCATGATTTTCACACTTATGTTCGGCGCCGACGTAATTTGGCGCCTGGGTAGCGCTACACATCCCTTACTTGTGTGTAGCAAACGCATTCATTGGGAGAAACATGTCACTCCATATTAGCGATAAATGGCACCGTAGCTACAAATAAGTTCCATATATGTGATTCGGGCATGGTCTGGACCTATAAGGGTACAACTTTCAATTACGGTCTTGCTTAATGGTATGTAAAACCTGTAATAATTGAATAGCACTGATTCATGGAGTGTTCCCATTTAAAATGTGCCCATAAATGGCAGTTATCGAATGCATACTTACGCACACAGGCATATTGAACAGCGAAATCAAGCAAAACATGTAAAAGATGCAAAAACTCGCACCGCCGAGGGACTGGGGCCATCAACCCCCCCCAAACTGTTCGCTTGAGAATCCTTCACGCTATCCACTAGGCCATCCGATCGTTGATGCTGAACGTTCCTCCGATCGTTGAAGAAACCATTCCATGAAGCCGTTCACGCTTGATTACGTGCCACAAGTAAGACCCCATACCCCAACTACTTTTCTCTTCGATTCCGATAGCACCTTTATAGGGTCCCTCCATTCAGCAACTGGTCAAAGTTTCAAGCGGTTTACAGCTCGTAGAGGCTCAAAACAATCAAGTTTCTAAGTTTTCTATTTCGCTTATTCCTTTTTGGCATTTTCAGGGCGACCGCTATCAGCAGAAACCAAGCCCACTTTACGTTCATAGGCAAGGCCCTACAAAGTGGCACTAAAAAGCCGTTCGAAAAAGGGGCACGCCGCTGAACGACCATCCCTTCCAGGTGGTAACGTCCGGCCGGTTACGCCCGTAAGCTTTCCACCTGCAACTCTTTTTTTAAGTTATGCCTCCTTTGGAGAGCTCCTCTATGAGCTGCTCATCACCTGAAGAGAAAATCACTTCTCTCAAAGCCTCCATGTCGAATCTCCTCGTCGCAGTCTCTATATGGTGAGGTTCATTCATCATTCTTCTTCTCCGTGTGCTTCCACCTGATGAACTCATTCATTGTCACTCTTCGGCCGCACATCACCACAGCTATAACATGGTGATTGCTTCGCGGCACCACTGGTGAATTCTTGAGACCAGTAGCCCTTCGTTTGCGTGAAGTGACGTTCATGCTTCTACTTTTCAAATTCTATTATTGCGCTTAGCTACATCACTAAAACAACACTTACTGTCAGTAACAGATAACATAATTAAAACGTTATTATAGTATCAGTTCCCAGTAAAATTCGTTTTTCAGCTATTTCAAATCGTCAATCAGCTAACTAGTTCTAGGCATTTTCTGATGCGTTTATCGTCCACATTTGCTTTTCTTTTACGACTGATCCTGTACTTCTGAATATGAGATTACTAGCACCTTTAGTAACTTTGCGTGTCTTTATAATCCTTTTACATACATATATCATCATTCGCGTGAGTACTGGCCCGATAAGAGACACCTCTTTCCTGAAACAACAATTTTCCAAAGTTAAAAATTCCCATATAAGACGACGTTCCTGTATGTACTTCCTGTCAACTCATAACTTATCCCCACATTCCCTTACTTTATGATCATCTAATTCCTGATTAGTTAGGAGTTTCCCGACCAGTCTGTATAATTCCAGCCTAATTGAATAGCTAAGAGAGAAGTCTTATCTTGTCTTGTCTTACAAAAGAGAAAACTTCTACAATTTCATAGTTGTACATAGGTTACCTGTTCAATACACAGCTTACTATACATCAATTCATGGTGACTTTTAATTTCCACTTCCGCAGATAAAATAGATTTCAATATTGAACCTACCTCTAGTAAGTACCTCAATCTGCGTAATAAATCCTTTAACAATAATCTCCGATGTCACTGGTTTATGCTTCGTACAATACGATTATGCTTTCGTAATTCCAGACTACGGTAATCCTAGCTGTAACAAAGAATAAGACCCCACTCGTATAATTGGAGTTTTCCTTGAAAACCTGCACTATCAATCCAACTTAGAGCGTTCACATCCTTTTCATTTTTGTATCTATCAAAACAATACAACCTAGACATTAAGAACAAATTACATTTCAAACATTTACATCACTATATCCTTTAGGAATTTCTGAGCTGCTTCACAGATAAAAGATTTCTCAGAGTTTGGGGTAATCAACACACGTAAACGAATAACCCATACATCGAAATGGAAAATATACCTACTAAGTGAAAAGAGGTATAGTCCTACCCCACAAAGACGAACCCTACCTTATTCCTACCGGCCACGAGGCCACAGACCCTTGGGGGCATCGGAAACATCCTCCCTCCGGCTACAGAGAGGGTTGGGATGCACTTTCGCTCCTAGTGGTTACCTGGTACGTTCGGCAACCTTACGATGATCCGGTTTTGACGGCTGCCAGCTCAGACGGACGATGACGTTGACAGCTGGACGAAGAGTTGAGTGGGGCCACCGGTCGGGATGGCAGCAGTAGACACTGGCGGATTGAATCGACGGCGGCTTGAGTTCTAGAGCCGCTTGGGACGCCTCTGCGTCCCCAAGGTTCTCTACGCTAAGCGCGCCAGGACCGCCGCGTCTACCACGAACGCGACCTTTTGAAAAAGGTTCGCACGGAGGTCATGAAACCGTGATCGTTCAGTGCGGCGATTTCTCGGAAAACGCTGTCGTCTTCACTGCCCTGAGAGAGTGACTCTTTACGTGTGGTTTCCAGTTATGTGCTCCAAGGCAATGTGCTCAACGTAACTCAAGATCATCAGGATAGTTGTGAACAGCTTCTGGGTAGTTGCAAGCTTCTACCGTTTACAATAGTATGAAAACGCGAATCGTAACGTAAAGAAGTTCAATCGATTACAGAGTCACAAAATAAGAAAGTTCAATTCAAAAAGGAAAAAAATTGAGGCCTCACAGCGGGATCCTAAAGAGAGTGGGCACGAGCCCAGTGCGAGGATGGTCAAGTGACCAATAGACGAGACGAATATCCGCTTTTTGGGGCCTCATGCCCCGCGTCACTTTTTCCCGCCATCTTTTCCCGCCATGCCATGCATATGCTGGTCATTGACTGATCTCCATTTCGAGTGGTCCAATTTTCATTTTTTTTCTAAAAAACAATTTGAACATTTCATTTCTTTTCATTTAATCTGTTATCACATGCCCCTCCCCCCCCTCCAGTAGATCTGTCCTCAGATCTTACATTTTCAGTTGTTCCAGCTTTTTCTCGGTGGCTCTCTCCAGACTCCGCAGCTTGCGTTTTTCCACGCGCTTCAAGTGGCGCTTAGAAATTCGGCCAACTTTTATCACGGCCTTCCAGACGACTGAGCGCTTCTTACTACCGACGGATTTCCTCTCGGCTTCATGGTTTTCGGAATCTTTACAGAGTCGAGCTTCACGTAATCCTTCACTTGATGTTTACGAAAATTCGAAAAACTCGACTGCTTGTTCCACTGGCCACCACCTATCGGGGTTATGAACCACGCCAACCTTCAGACAAGCCATTGTAGAACTGAGAATTCCAGGTTCGGCAGGGACGAGGCAGTGTATCTGATTCAGAAACGATGGATACGTGTCCACATATCCATTGATATGACTCCTTGTCTTGGCGTTCAATCGGTCCCAACTGTTTTCTTCGACTGCTCTGGGTCCGTTGACGATGATTACATGAGCTCCACACGAGAGCCACAAATTGAGTGCGTTGACGAACTGCAACCAAGAGTATGGGTCAGCCGGTTCTCTCGGTGGCAAAACAAGAATCACATTTCCGACGTCGTCTGCGAAGATGGCCGTATTCGTAGCACGTATCTCTCGGAATGACTTGTAATAGAATATGGCCATGTTTGGGCTCGTGTGACAAAACTTGATCCTGTGCAGGACTTCCGGTACGACGACGACGATACGCCCATGTTCTTGCCCATACTGCACTGACTGCGCAATAGTCTCCCATTCTAGCTTCTTTGCGATTCTCCACCCGTATTCGATGACTCTCGTTGCATCGCAAGGCCATCCCGGGAATTGCGAATGACGTAATGGGGCTTCCATTTGGCACAGTCGCCGCTCGACACTTGGAGACAGCGATGTCGGAAGAAAGCGTATGCGAATCCTATCGCTTTGGGAGTCAGCACCTTGTATGACTTGTCCATGATCCGCTGAACCTTAGAGAAACGGATCCTGAATCCCACCATATCGCTAGGACTCGTGCGGCATCCAGACACGCACTCATCACACGCCGATTGCGGCACGACCGAAAGAAGCTGACTAGCTCGCGTAGTAGTACGTAGTACGAGTACAACGACAAGACTCAAGAGGGAAGCTCCCTCTGAAACAACTCTCACTGTTCCATCACTAATCTCATCTGGGCATTTGAGCAACAAGTCAAATTGTACTCGGACTAGGTCTTCATTTTTGGACAAGTTATCAGTGCCGAG